TGCCTCCTTTTAAGGATTTATTTTTCCTTTCAGGCAGTATAACTTGCGGGTCGGTTAGGTAAATGCATTGCGAGGTACAACGGTTTTCATGCAGATTTGACGTTATTGCATGATCAACTGCGACTAATGTACTCGATTGTCTCGGTAACTGGGACGTTTGTAAACAACGAAGAGACGCCTAGAGAGAACATCCCCATGCCGCTTAAGTTTACATCGTTCAGGTTGTCGATAAATTTAAACGTGTCTCGATAGCTCCGTGGCGCCAGCTGATGCTGCAAAGGCTTGAGATTCTCCGCCAACCATTTCGCTATCGCATGATACAGTGGATTGCGCATGTGAGAAGAAGACGACTCGATCACTGGCACAATACGTTTATCCGCCTGACGTTTCGACATGCGTCGCGGATTCATCATCAGAGACATGAGCAGGAAACCATAGCAGAAGCGGGTCCTGCTCATGCCTCTGGTGATGAATCCGCGATGGATGTCGGAACGTCAGGCGAATAAACGTATTTTCCCAGCGATCGAGTCGTCTTCTTCTCAATTATTCCTGGGACTCGCGTGTTTGCTTGTCTTGGCAACTGCGCATGTTCAGAATCGGACGAACTGGCAGGCCATCCTTATGGATATTTGGTAGACCATACAAACGGAGGATGGGGGTGCCTACTGGTCGGAGACTTTCGAAGTCACGGTCGCTTATGAAACCTCCCGTGTGGAGTCTTCTTAAGCAGTCAGTCAGCTGAGCCTCTACTTTCTCTGCGCAAAAGGACCTGCTGCAAGCTCCAATCCTAGCATGGCCAAGGGCCACCTAGTTACGCGCCTCCTCTCTCCCCTTCCCCCTCCCCTCTCCCTGATTGCCGCTTAATTAACCGCTTGTTACTAACCCCAGCCCCCTCCCCTATTCGCTGAACTAATTTGCCTGTAACGTTGAACGTAATTTACCTACAATTTTACCGATTACACTTTACCAAACTCCCACATAAATGTAACTTCCTGATGAGAATTTATTAAAAGTACATATATGCTCTGTAATTGCTCCTCGGATGGGTATATCTCAGTCATTAATATTTGGAAAAGAGTAGCTTGAAAGATAATTTGGTGAGCATGTGTTTCCTTTCGATAGATTCTCTTCAGACCTGTACCCTTATATCTTCTTAGCTCGGCAAAAATTCCCATTTCGTTTACGATTGAAAAGTCGTGTTGGCAAAC